TCCAAAATGTCTCAAAATTGTCAAAGAAAATCATTGTCCCAAGTGTGAGTCAAGGTGAAGGCCCCTTTGTCTCTGTTGAGGGTCCGTGTGCCCCACTTAATTATTTAATTTGCCTAACATTTCCATCTTTTGTGTTTATCCTCTTCCGTTCCTACAAATTCTGCATTTTCCCAGTCCATGATTTTCTCTATTACAGTGTTTGGTTTTATAACAAAATCTGGACTCCAGTTATAAATATATTTAGAGCCGTTATGACTGTCAGACACACACGTGGCACGTACACACACACAGCCTTATCAACGTGACGCTTTACAATTTCATTTTATTTCAATCGTGTAAAAATGAATATATCCGACATTCGACATTGCAGTGGATTGACCTCATAAACAATCGGTTTGTGATCCGCGGAGTCTCCCACGTCTCAGGGCTGTGCTGTTAGAGGCCCCATGATGACGAGTCTTCAGAGTTTTTCTCTAGGCTGAACACGACTGATGTGTCTCACTGTTTTCTTATTAAAAAGATTTCTCAGGGAAAGATGACTTCACAGAGGAACTGGCGGGATTCAAACCAAATGTCACGTCAAAGCTTTCGGGTTCAAAGACCACGTTTGATTCAGCGTCTGGATGTGACTGTTTTTGCTTCAGGCACATTACAGATCCATGACACATTGATCAGTTTGAGTTAAGAAAAAACTGATGTTAAACAGTATGTGGGCCTCTGTATTTTCAGTCCCTCCAGTCAATTGCTTTTCCAATTTGAGCCACAGGTGATGATTCTCCCAAAGTAAATGATTTTAAAATTCAAAATAAATACAAAATAAGGAGAACTTTTCAAAGCTACAAAGCTGTTGATTCGTCAACACCGATCACTCTCATTTCCAACCCGCACTCAGGACACATCTGTTCAGAATGGCCTGATCACTTTGACCATATATTGGTCTGGTCTCTCTCTGGTCTCTCTAACTGGTTACTCTACCTGGTTTCTCTCTGGTCCTTCTCCCTGGTCTCTCTCATGTTGCTCTCTTGGTTCCCTCTCTCCGGTGTATCTCTCTGGTCTCTTCCTGGTTTCTCTCTCTCTCTGGTCTCTCCCTCTGTTCCCTCTCTCTTGTCTCTCTCTGGCCTCTATGTGGTCTCTCCGTCTGGTGTCTCTTGTGTCGCTCTCTTGGTTCCCTCTCTGGTGTATCTCTCTGGTCTCTTCCCGGTTTCTCTCTCTCTTTGGTGTCACTCTCTGGTTTCTCCCTCTGTTCCCTCTACCTGGTCTCTCTCTAGTCTTTTTCCCTGGTCTCTCTGGGTTCCCTCTGGCCTCTATATGGTGTCTCTCTCTGGCCTCTACCTGGTCTCTCTCTCGTCTCAGTCCGGTCCACTGTCCATGTTTAACTGTCTGTTTTTAACTTATTTTTGCTTTTAACCTTCTTTCCTGGCGTCCACAAGTTGCCAGAAAGGCGCCACATGGAAATAAAAACCTATTATCATGAAGACACAGGAAAAAGGCCAAAAGAGTATATGTATTCATGTATTCATTAATGAATGAGTGGGAGAAAGTATAGGACACATCTATCTATCTATCTATCTATCTATCTATCCATCCATCCATCCCCAGATCCCAAATGTGATTCCTGATCCGTTATCCAATCACTGGATATTATTCAGTTCTTGTCTGATCGACCCAACCTCCTCCAGCAAACATCCCTCTCAATTTGAAAGCAAATTATTCAGAGGACAACTTGATTCCTGTTTTTATTTGATGACAATTTAGCGGCCAGTCTGCGGGACACTTTAGTATTCGACGCGTGCCGCTCGAGAGAAACGGCTCCTGTTCATTTCGTGACAACAGTGATGGGATAATAACAGCAGGAGAGATAAAAACACATTCTCTCTGATCAGGCTTTGATTAGGAGTCGACAGCTATCAGGAAATGGAGGAGTAATACATTTGATAAACACGAGAGCTGCAGAGATGCTTTGCTGGTCTTTGTTCTGAGGGTTTTTGAGCTGAGCCTTGACCCAGAACTTGAATTGAAACCTGTACGAAGAAATTATGTTCATAAAATCGTTTTATTTTGAATGCGCTAAAAACGGGAGCCAGTTCTAAGTCGCTCTGAAGCAGTTGTTGTTTTGTGTTTTACAATCGTTGATATTTTTTTTCTGTAAATTTTACAACAGTACAGTGTTCTTGGTTCTGCACTGATCCAGACCCGAGACAATGGTCCCAAGCAGATCAAGCAAAAATCCAGTGGAAATGGTCCGAACCAAAAAGACTTTTACTACCTTTTATTGTCTTGTTTCCTGTAAAAATTATGTGTGCCGGTTTTTAAAATCAACTTTTCATTCATTTATTCATTCTTCTCTCTCTTATTGTATCTTCTTAAAACAAAATAATTTGTCTTTGTACAATTGAAAAATCCTGTTTTAAAGGAGTCAAAATGTGCTCAAATTTAGATACATTTAGCCAAATTTTAGCCAATCAATTTTAGCCATTTTTAACTTGTTTTTCATCACTTTTTGCAGTGTAGATCTGCTTCTTCAGACACAAAAATCTCAAAGTGTCAAGTTCTTTCAAATATACAAAAGATAGATTGTCTTTTTGTATGTGACTTCTGAGACCAAAAGTTACATACCCCCAACTTTAAAACGTGTCTTATCGTATCTAGCATCTACAATGGAAATGAATCCTGCGAACACACCTGACTCTCCGTGTTCTCGCAGGAATGCTGTTGAGACTAAATGCATTTAATCAGTGAAAGAATAGCAACAAAACTCAGTCAAATTGCAGTAAATAATTCTCCTGCAGGCGCCGCTCTTTTGAAAGCGGTCCCAGCTGCATTGTCCTCCTCATGTTTTATGTACGAGCGTTTTGCACGGCTTCACATCCAACAAATGTAGTGAATAAACAGCCTCTTCTCTGCTGTTTACGGCTCTGATAACAGGACAGGTTGTGGAGGGACCCAGAGCGGACTCAGAGGGACCCTCAGAGACCTCAGGGACCCAGAAATAGCACAGAGGACCCACAGAGAGGATTCATGGGACACAAAGAGAGCACAGAGGATCCAGAGAGAGCATAGAGGACTCAGAGAGAGGACTCAGAGAGGACTAAGAGAGGACTCAGAGAGGACTCAGAGGATCCAGAGAGGACCTAGAGAGGACTCAGAGAGGACCCAGAGAGAGGACCCAGAGAGAAGACACAGAAAAAGCAGCCACGGAGGACTCAGAGAGGACCAGAGAGGACCCAGAGAGGACCCAGAGAGGACCCAGAAAGAGGACCCAGAGAGAGGACTCAGGGAGAGGACTCAGGGAGAGGACTCAGGGAGAGGACTCAGGGAGGACTCAGAGGATCCAGAGAGGGCTCAGAGAGGACCCAGAGAGAGGACTAAGAGAGGACTCGGAGAGGACCCAGAGAAAGGACACAGAAAGAGCACCCACAGAGCACCCACAGAGGACTCAGAGAGGACCCAGAAAGAGGACCCAGAAAGAGGACTCAGAGAGAGGACTAAGAGAGGACTCGGAGAGGACCCAGAGAGAAGACACAGAAAAAGCACCCACAGAGGACTCAGAGAGGACCAAGAGAGGACCCAGAGAGGACCCAGAGAGGACCCAGAAAGAGGACCCAGAGAGAGGACTCAGAGAGAGGACTCAGAGAGAGGACTCAGAGAGAGGACTCAGAGAGAGGACTCAGAGAGAGTGACTCTGGTCTGTGAAAGGCGCTATATAAATAAAGATTACTTACTTACTTACTACACAGAGAGGACTCAGAGAGGACTAAGATGCAGGAGAGTTTGAGGACAGTGGTGATGATCCAGAACATGTATGAACATTGATCATCTGCCCTCTATGGACCAATGACTCTATGTGTTTTATTTTATTTTTATCATTATGATTCTCTGATCTGTGTTGGCAAAATGACAAGGAAAAACTATTATTGTGATCTAGGGCTGTACTAGCCTGGCCTAAGCCATCCGTACACTCTGCTCAATCATCATTTCACTGCATGTAACGTCTGGGTCTGGTCCCCGTGTTTGCGATTACAATCGGTTGAATTTTGACCGACAAATCAGTGAGCGTGGGAGGCGGGTGTTGTAGTTAGTTGTGGGTGATGTCAAGAGTTTGCGTCGAACGGGCAGGTTGTAGTTTGGCAATGGCGAAAAATGCGTTAGTAACGTAATCCGGTCTGGTTCTATCAAGAAATTGAAGCCGGAGGAAGAGTAGGTTTTAGTAAATGTAATCGCTGGAAAAAATTGTAGCGCTACTCCCCACGGGCTCCGTTAGCGGCAAAGGAGATGGCTAGGCTAAAGGCTAAATGCTAACAACAGACTCGAGCGCACTACATATGTCACAGTAAACTCAGATCCAATCGTTTCAATTTGCAAAAGGAGTTAACCCCTCCCACCTGTCAATGGAGCACCTCCAGACCTTAGTACGAAATGTCATTTGTACTATGGTGTGGTACACAATTTACTGAAAAGTGATTTTGTATTTTTGTGTATGTATTTTTTAACCAACAACAACAACAACTTATTCTTGTATAGCCCTAAATCACAACAACATCATCTCAGAGGACTTAACAAAACCTTGGAAATCACCAACACAGATCAGAGAATCAACAGTTAAGACACAGAAAACACACATATGTATTGGTCCATAGGGAGAGACCAATGTCCATGAATGTTGATAAATGTCCATACATGTTGTAGAATGTTAAAGTGTCCTGAATCATCATCATAACCAATAACAATAATCAAATAACAAAAATGGCTTATTTCCTGTAGATTTCCCTCTGACCGACACAAACTCAACCTGAAGTGAAGATTCTGGAGAACAGCGTGTCAGAGCCAGAGGTGGTGTGAGGCCAGAGAGAGACTGCCCCGGTCTGACCACTGCAGACTCTTCGGGCTGAACAAGAGTAATCGACCACAGCGAGTGTTTGGATTGTTGAGCTTTTTGTCTGAGAAGGGGATATTTTGTAATCCAGGTGAAGAAGCAGAGAAAAGGACAGTCACTTTAGCCAATGGATCGGCGAGGTCTGGACAACTGCACTTATGGATGTCCCCAACTCTGCAGAAAAGTGGAGAGTGTGGGTGTTATTGAGAGTCAAGGGAGCGAGATGGTCACGTGTCTGTTTGTGTTTAGTTTCTCAATATATATGAGTTTGCTGCGTTCAAAGAATCTATGTTTGAGGCCTGCGTTTACAAGTAAAAAAAACCCATCGATCTTGTTCCTATTTCTCCAATGTGAGATTAATAAAGTCTGTCTGCACTAATTGTTCTGAGAAATGCACTAACAGTTGTGCAATTGTGAAGAATGATGTGAAATATGCACCAAAGCGACTGAGAAAAACTGTAAGAAACTCAAAGAAAAACCAACCTGAAGTATCCTTTAACTGTCTTACATCTGCTCAGATTTGCAGTCGGCTCCAGTGAAGTCACATGACCTCTTATCAGCCCCACACACCGGCAGCTCGCCCCACAGACCGAGACGGAGCAGAACCAAAGGCTGAAGAGGCTTATGGACCCCTGGTGTCCCGCGCCGGCAGCTGGAGTCCTGCTCGGGTCCGGGTCACTGATCGGAGGCTGACTAAGTGAATGTTATATGACACATAAACAACAAACTGAGAAGGTGTCTGGTTTGTTAACGTCACATATTACGGAAAGAGTCGTTCAAATAATTGTAGCATAAAGAACATGCTACAGGTTTACCAAACAACCAGTGTCATATAATCACTAAATCTACCGGCCAAACAAAAACTGCAACTTATTAACCTGAAAAATACAGAAGATAGATAGATAGATAGATATACTTACAGTTTTTTATCTTCATGACAATCAAAATTGTAGATTCACACTGAAAACTATTAATTAACTCATGTGGAATTATGTATGTACTAAAAAAAAAGTATGAAACAAGTGAAAATATGTGTTATATTCTGGGTTCCTCAAAGTAACACTTTTTGCTCTGATTACTGCTTCACTCTTAGCATTCTCTTGATGAGCTTCTTAGAGGTAGTGACCTGAAATGGTCTTCCAACAGTCTTGAGATGCTTCCCAGAGATGCTTGGCACTTCTTGGCCCTTTCGCCTTCGCTCTGTGGTCCAGCCCCAAAACCATCTGGATTGGGTTCAGGTCCGGACTGCGGAGGCCAGGTCATCTGGCCCAGCACCATCACTCTCCTTATTGGTCAAACAGCCCTTACACAGCATGGGTGTGAATCTACAGTCAATAGTCATGAAAATAAAGGACACTCATTGAATGAGAAAGTGTGTCCAAACTTTTGGTCTGTACTGTATGTACGAAGGGGAAGAAAATAGATGAATAATTAAGTACATACTTACAATTAGCCCTGATGATTGGACAACGACAACTAGAATTGGCTGTGTCACCTGTATGGGCTCATACACGGTGAGAAACAGCCACAGCCGCCACAGCCCCGTCTGGCCTCTCTCTCCTAAAGGTGGAATGAGGAGAATCGTGGAGCTGGCACAGGACAAATTGCTGAGTTATAGCGACTGGCAAACAAAATGTCAGCGTTGTTTGTTCAGACAGACTGAAAAATGGAGATGGTGAAATGATTGCAGCAAAAGGGTCGAGACATTCCTAAGTACAATGCGTATGTCCTTCTTCTTCTTTCTCCTCTGCTTTGGTTGGAATGTACAGTTCGTTTCTAGTTCCATGAAAGAATGTCCTGGTCTCTTAAGAAACAAGTCATTTCTGTTTGTCATGTGAGAAAAAACTGATTTAAAACAGTCAGAAGTTTCTCAAATACGCAGTGAGTACTGGCAACCCGGATCATGGACTTTCTTATGATAAAGAGGTGAAGGGCGGGACATCGAAATGAAAACAATAACAATATTTATGGCCTGTAAAAAATATTTTGAAATTTGAATATCTCTGAACAATTGTTATCAGAAGCATTCGAAAAGAGCATGTCTTAATAATGCCTTTTGACAGATTAGGGCCATTTTATGATAGCCTGGTAAGCATATATCGTACAAATTTCAATTTCATACTAAGGTCTGGATTTGCTCCATTGACTCCGTTAACAGGTGGGAGGGGTTAAACGATTGGATCTGAGTTTACCGTGACGTATTTAACGCGCCCAAGTGAGTGAGGCATTTAGCCTAGCTTTAGAATTTAGCGTAGCTTTAGCATTTAGCGTAGCTTTAGCATTTAGCCTAGCTTTAGCATTTAGCTCTATCTTTTTTGCCTCTCTTTTGCCTGTGGGGAATAGAACCACAGCATCTTTGACAACAATGATTTTTACTAAACATTCCTTTTGCTGCGGCTTCAGTTTCTTGATATTTGGAGCCAAACCAGAACAGATTATTTCACTATCACATTCTCCGCCAAACTATAACCAGCAAATTCTTGACGTCACTGACACCGACCTGCAACACCCGCCTCCCCCGCTCTCTGATTGGTTGGAGGGGATTCAACCGAGGAAACTGCAGCCACTAGAATCAGACCCAGACGTACATGTAGGAAATGATCATAGACCCGAGTTTACAGACGGCTAAGACCACGCTAATTTGCTGATGACTTGACATGAAAATCTGACATATTGCTCCTTTAAAGTTGTTTTTTTTCCGAGCTAAAACACAGTCTTGCCTTTTGTCCGTTATTCCCCACAAAGCCGGGTGTAATATCCAAACACATGTGATTGGACTGCAGAGTGATTGTCGGGAGAAGAACAAGTCAATTCCGTGCCTATTTACAGTGATGTGCATAATCTTTCCCTATTGGAGCTCTCTCAAGCACTTTCGAATCACAAAACCCAATGCATATTCCGCATCCAAATTGCACAAAACAATATCGCTTCCCGCTTCGATTTCGCCGCACGTAATCGCGTTAGAATCCGTCTTCTCCTCTGGTGGACGTCAGGAACAGGGAGTGACAATAAAAGTAATGAAATCAAGGGAAAACTCGAGAGACATGAGATGCAGACGGAGAGGCAGTCTGTCATGAGATGGGCTGCGGTATTTGCATATAGAGCGGAGCAGACATCACCAGAGACGTGAGGCTGTGTATGCAAATGTGCCGCAGGTTTCAACTTCTTGGTTTTACTGTTTTTTGATTTGAACCATTACAATGAGCAGTGTTCTGGCTTTTCACACAGTTCTGGTGGAAGTTGTTGTGGTTTAATATGGTCCACTGCAACACGTGATGAGAAATAAGTAAAGAATTGCTTAAAATGTATCTTAATTTGAGTAATTCTTCGTGTAAGTATTTCATAGTCATACAGCATAACAAGATACAGAGGTAGTTGCGGTGGGAAAGATGGTTTAAGTCAGGCATGTCAAAATGATGTGTGCTGACATGATGCATTACCACCCCGGGCCAGTGGGGGTGGACCTGGGATAAAAATTAGCCAATGCCAATGTATAGCATCTTCTTTGCTCTTGAAAACGTCTTTACAGGATGGTCCAAAAGTTGCTCTTGGTCCAAAGCTTTGTTCCACATGTGTGTCAATGCTGAAGGGAGTGAATTTTTTTGGACCAGTTTAGTCGCAGTGGACTTCAGAATGGATGGATGTATGCACTTCAGAATGCACTTGTTAAATGAAAGGGGCTCATGCCGGCTGACGCTTGCGAAATTTTCCAGCTCCCGCGGCCATTTTGAAAGTGCCCCTAGAAGCCAAAAGTGGTGGCATATTAGTTTGAACGGCGGAGATTGGCGTGACAACTGCCGTTAATATAGGGCATTTTCAGCGGCCCCAAAAAACGATTTTCAATTACCATTAAAAGTTGCAAGTGGCAGCTTTGATGGTTGTGGACGACCAAAACATATTATACTGTACATTATCTATTTTCTCAGGAAAACAACCCAATCTAATTTATTGTAAAAGTTTAACTCAACACAACTTTATATTTCATCCAGTTTTAGTTCAATCTAAAAAATCTACACATTTTGTTTTCAGAAAATGTCAAAATTCCTACACAATCTTAAAACAATTATAAGAAAATGAAATCCCTTCTCTTCTTTTGAACCCTGACCAGTTCCTTTTTTTGTTACTCTGCCACTGACCAAAATTATCGTAATTTCCTGACTATTTTTCATTAGTTTTTTTAACCATGCAGCCGTTACAGCGACGTGGCTAATATGTGTATGTTTTACTGTGGAAGAGTTCTCAGAGTTTTGTTATTTTGACTCCATCAAGTTAAATCCTGTTGTGTCCAGTTTAAACAGTCTCTGCTTCTTCACAACATGAAAACCCGCAGCTTTTATTCAAGCGTGGCCTATACATGGACACACTTGATGTTCTTTTCAAATGTAGATGAAGGTGTGGCTTACATGTATTTACAGGTGCAGTGTATAGTCCATAAAGTACAATTCATGGTTGAAATTTGAGTACAAAGCGGTGGTAAATACATCTGTCAAAACTCTTTCCAAGCCTTGTGCCGTGGACAATGCTCGGCGACCCTTCCTGTATGTACGTAGACCCAGGCGTGACTCAAACCTGTTCGTTTTGATGACACCGTCGGCCCCAACGTCTCTCTCTGAAAAACACTGATGGGATTTCTGTGTGGAGTGCTGAGGCGAGCTCGTCATGAAGCCCGAGGAGAAAGGAGGGTGAGGGGGGGAGAGGGGTGAGAGGGGGGGGGGGGCTGTGGTGATGACAGGGTGACATTGCTCCGAGCGCCGCGTTCGTGACTGACGTTCAGGTCTTTAGGCGGCGTTTGATTGACTGTTGTGTAATGATTACTCTGTGAAAGTGGAAGAGGCCCTGAATGTTCATACACGGCGGCGGGAAAAAAGCGGACGAGGAGGTTTTAGCGGTGGGTGAGTTTTTATCTCGAGATACGACTGAGACCATGACCTCCCGTGGTTTGGTCTTCCTTGTTAGTCCTGACTAGAACCAGGAAGTACCCTTACATTAGTCCAGTCCTCAGGTGTCTGCTTCCTGCGGCTCAGAGAATAGACTTTAAAGCAGCTTTGATTGTTAAAAGTCTCTCCATGGCCTCGCACCAAAGAACATCTGTGACATGTTAGTGTCATATGAACCGACTCGGACTCTGAGGAGCACAGGGACGGGACTCCTGCTTGGACTCTGGGATGGTTAGGGCAAAATATTTGAAGTGACGATTAGTTTTTACAATATTTTGTACTTACATTTTTTTGTCCCAACCGCCATTAAACCGCTGAAGTCTCTGTAGCTGGTGGTATTATGTTCATATGTTTGTATCATGGGGCTCCACTCAAGCCCCGGCGATCCAAGATGGCGCCCTATTCAAATGAATGGTTGTGCTCAGTGGCGCTTTGTGACGGCATGGGGGCTGAAAGATTAGCGGAAGTCGCCTGGAACTCGCAAAGATCTATGGGAAACTCGCAAAGATCTATGGGAAACTCGCCTGTATTTGGGCATCGTCTGGTCCTCCCGGTTCTGCGCAGTGGATGATCTCCCATAATGCGTTGCGTCAAACACGCGTGTGTGGGTCTCACACCGGGTCTCACGCACGTGCACAGAGGGGCTCGGCCGCGCTCTGACCAATCAGAGCAGTTCATCAGAGCGGGAGTTAGAGCGAGAGCCAGACGAGCAGAGTTTGTGGCACTAAAGTGTGGATTTAAACAAAACCAAAGGATTTAAGAAG